CCCACTACGCCGCCGAAGTACTTGTACGGCAGGATGTTGCACGCCCTGGCGGCGGGAGAGCGGTGCGCCGTTGACGCCGCAACATGACAGGGCGGCGGGGAACAGCAGGCGGAAAAAGACGAGGCCAATAGGTGAGAGAAGACGTCTAACATGACCTGACACCATGCCATCACCGGACCACAGGGGACCACCGCGCGCTCGCGGCCGAAGCCCCGCCGTTCCACTCACCGAATCTGGCCGTCGTCATAGGCCATCACCAACAGCGAGTCGGTGGCAGCCACCACAGCGTTGATCGACGACGGGTGTCCTTTGAACACATTCACCTGGGAATACGCGGACCAGAGTCAGTCTGGCGACGACTGTCGGTAACACTGCAGCAACAAATCACCGTATTAGCACACTGAACAAACACTCAGCATGGAGTATGAAATTACTGAGATTTATAACCCAGCCGAGAAGAGGGGGGGGGGGGGGAGCAAGCGCGAGCACTCACGCAAGGCAGCCGTCGTCGTGGGGTCGGTTTGATAACCTTACCAAACCGACCTCAGGACGACGGCCGCTTTGCACAGGTGCACGTGAACAACGTGAGGCGCAAAGAAACTACCGACTAAGGACTCATCGCGCCATCGGAGCGCGAAACAGCGAGGCATTATAACGCGTCCAAATGCCAAAGCATTCATAAAATCAGTAAAGAATGCCAGTTGGACATGTTTATGATCGGCAATGAAGGCGCAAACTAAGCGTCCTGTGAAACAATGGGTCGCGCAGAAATAGTAGTACCGATTGTTCAGATTTACGACAGGTGGCTGCACGATTCTCTAGCGCATTGTACGCCTATACGGCACACTTACGTGCTCTCCAAAGTGTCCCCACTTGAAGATAGGCACCTTTCCCTGGTCGGAAGCCATGCCTACGGCCAGCTTCTTCTGCTCCTTGATGAACGTCATGCACGTGAGTGGAGCCTCGTACATGTCACACTGCCGACCGCCAGGGGGAGGCCTTATCACCGTTATCACCCTCCAGACGAACGAGGGCCGTGGATGCTTTGTCATGGAAATCAGGTGTCGGTAGAGATGGCCAACAAAACACACGTGTACATGCTCATAGCAGTTGAAGCCCGGTGGCCAGCAGGAACGGCAGATCACCCGACACCGTCCCCCCTGGCACGGACAAGCTCGCTCCCACCGAGCACGGTGGCCAGCAGGAACGGCAGATCACCTGACACCGTCCCCCCTGGCACGGACAAGCTCGCTCCCACCGAGCACGGTGGCCAGCAGGAACGGCAGATCACCTGACACCGTCCCCCCTGGCACGGACAAGCTCGCTCCCACCGAGCACGGTGGCCAGCAGGAACGGCAGATCGCCCGACACCGTCCCCCTGGCAGGGACAAGCTCGCTCCCACCGAGCACGGTGGCCAGCAGGAACGGCAGATCGCCCGACACCGTCCCCCCTGGCACGGACAAGCTCGCTCCCACCGCTGAGAGGGCACGCCCAGGTCGACTCATCGTAAGCGGTCGCGTCTGCTTGCTGTCAGCAGCGCTGGCCACCGCGGAGCTCACCGGTGGGTGGCGCGCAGGACGCGGTCGTACCTGGGTGTGGACCCGGCGGGTGCGGAGACTGAAGGAGGTGATGGTACCCTCGCCGGAGGAGGCCACCAGCCAGCGCTGGTCGTCGTCGCAGATCAGGTCACTGATGTAGTCCTCACACTGTTTGACGCTCATCACTTCAGCCCGGGTCCGGTAGTCCCACACTGGTGCAAGGGAAGACGGCATCAGCACCGAGGCCCGGGTCCGGTAGTCCCACACTGGTGCAAGGGAAGACGGCATCAGCACCGAGGCCTCGCAGCGCGATGCCACGACCATGTTACAGAAGCAGACTGCGTGCAGCGAGTGGTTCCAGCGGATTGAAGGTAAGGTTGAATGAATTTAGAGGACAAATGATGATGGTAATGATGATGATGACGATGATGATGATGATGATGGTGATGATGATTCGGGATTTAGGGCGCGCCTGACTACCCCTGATGATATGGCGACCATGCTGACTGCCTCTTATTCAACAGATGAGTGTCAGAGGTAAGGAGACCAAGGCTACATCAGATATATGGCATTAGAAAATATTCCGGTAACCAAACGGATCCATCTATAATATATAGAATATATATAGGTCTATATATATATATATATATATATATATATATATATATATACAATAGGTGGTTGGTCAGATTGCGTCGGTAAGGCCACTCCATTTTTGACAGCATGCACACTCCAACGAAATCTTCCTACGCGATTGCACAAAACTACTATTGAAATAGCACGACAGCTAAACATTATACGATACCAAGCCGACCGAGCAGCTCCTTCCGCCTGCCCTGCCGGCGCGTCTGCCCTCCAGCCTGCCCGGCCCCCCGCCCCCCGCCGTGCCGCGCTGGCCGGCGGGGGCCGGACGCCGGGAGCTCGCCGCCCAGCTCACGTTTGACGGTGCCGTCGTCGTCACCGGAGGGCCATCAGCCGCTCAGTGAGAGGCAGCACGCTGAAGACGCCGGGCCGGGTGGGCGGCCGGCAGGCGCCGCTTTCAGCGCGCCCGTCTCCCATGCTGTGTATGCGCAGAGAGCCATCCGCCCAACCGGAGAACAGCAGGCCGCCGTCGCCCGAGAACTCGAGCCCGCGGCACGTGGACTTGCAGGTGGGCAGGGTCAGCGCCAGGTCACTGCGCTCACTGCTGTAGTTGTGCCTGCGTGAGCAGTGGTAACAGGGCTTCAGTTCATGCACTTGCGGCTAGATATGAAAAACAATCCTTTGGTAGCATCAGCATGCAAATGTTTTCAATCATGCAGCAAACTAGACAAACGACCACGCGAAGCGAGGGATTTAAGCCAATGTGGCATGTTTTGGGTAGGATGGCCACGACCTGTGTCAAGTGTCAAGGGTGACCTGACACTACTCAAGACGTTCGGACCATTTCCACATCAAATATTTTACACTAGATCATGACCGCCGATACCTACTCAGAACAGTGCATTGTGACAACTGCCAAATTGTAGTTTGTTCAGGAAGTAGTACACCGTCGAACTAGACACCCATTCTGCAACACATGCAAAGGACTGCTTAGTGGCAAACTAACCATACACAGCATGAGCCTGGGGAGGTCAACGTCATGGGGGTCCTGTTGAGACATGTAGTGCTTCACCACTGGTCATGCAGACGCAGAACATGGACGCCTCCCTTCTAATCAGTTCAATGACCTTCGCCAGGTCCTGGTCTTCTTGTTGAGCCAATCTTAATTCAAAAGTCACCATTTCACGTTGTTGCCCCGCACCTCTGTCGCGTATTGTCCTTGGCCGTCATCTACATGGCCGCAGGGACAGGGCATTTGCATACATAAGGTTGAATCCTGGTCGGTACTGGAACTTCATAGTCCAGCGCTTCCAACTCCAGAATCCACCGCGGCAGCTTGCCTCTGAGATTCTTGCTCCGTCGGAGATGAAGCCTAAAGGATTGTGGTCAGTCCGCAGTATGAAGTGCTGCCCATGCAGATACACCCGGAACCGACAACTAGCCTAAACGAGGGCGAGACACTCTCGCTCAGTTGCAAAGTATCTCCTCTGTGCCCTAGTCAGACTGCGACTAGCATATGCCCCAACACGTGCTATTTTCCTCTTGAGTCAGCACCGCCCCCAGGCCTACATCGCCGGCGTCCGTTGTCAACGTGAACGGCTCCAGGAAGTTCGGGTACCACAACACCGGAGAAGAGTTTTTTCAACATCGCAAAAGCCACAGCGCACTCTTCCGTCCCTTTGAAGCAAGAGACACCCTCTGGAAGTCGATGCCGAGGCCTTGCCAGGTGGGCAAACTATGGAATAAAGCGTCGGAAGTACGAGGCTAATCCCAAGAACTTACGCGCTCCCCTCATGGGCGATGGGGCCGGAAAGTGCTGCACCGCAGACGCTTCCGAGGGATCCGCACACACGTCTTTCCCACTGACTACACGCCCGAGGAACTGAGCCTCCTTCCGAAACAACCTACACTTTCTCGGATCCAGCGTCAGGTTTGCTGCTCGCAACGCCCCTAAAACAATCGCCGATCTCTCCAACTTTTCAGAGAACGTTCTTCCGAATGTGATTATATCGTCGAGATACACAAGACAGATGTTCCAAACGAGACCCGCTAGTGTTTCCACCATCAGCCGCTGGAACGATGCCGGCGCCCCCTTCAAGGAATGGATGTCACGTTAAATTCGAACAGTCCTTTGTGCGTTGCAAAAACAATCTTGCGTTTATCCTCCTCCTTGAGCTCCTGCTGCAAATACCCACTTTTCAGATCCATGACATGGAACCACTTGGCCGCGGACAGGACGTCCAAACAGTCATCGATTCAGGGCAGTGGAAAAGCGTCACTCGTGGTATCCGCGTTCAGTCTACGGTAGTCGATACAAAATCGAATCGTCCCATCTTTCTTCTGCACCGGAACTACACTTGCTGCATATGGGGACACACTTGGCCTGGCGACGTCACGTGCGAGCATGTCGTCCACCATTTCATCCATTTGCTTTCGCATGCGATGATCCACTCGCCCCGGCTGCATGGACCTCGGCGGCGCAGCACCCGTCCGAACTTCATGCCGAACGACGCCTGACCTTTCAAGTGTTCCATCGGTGGGAAGCCGGTCCAGGTACGCAGTCAGGAGCATCGCGATCTTCTCTTTTTTCTCTTCCAATCTCGCCTTCCCTTCCTGTTGATTCTTTTGGGCGACGTTACGAACAACGTGGGGTGGCGAGGACTCATGCACCGCCGCCACCTGTTCAACATGTCCGACGGTTGTTCCTTTGTATAATTTGATGCTTCCCTCACCTGGATTCACAAACCTCGGGCTCACCTGATGCTTGTCTCCAACAGTGTTCAGCACATAAGCATCTACAATCTGGTGCTTATCTTCAAGCGTCCCATCAGGAGTGTACATTACGCATGCTCCGGCTGGCTGGTCCAGAGCCGCGTTCCCCTTCGTGACGATCTCGTGTCGACCTGGTACGACAATATCGCATGACAGTGTTACCCTGCCACAACGGAGAGCTGCCACAGCTTCAACCTGCATCTCACCACTAATGAGGCAAGATTTTCCGAACCTACAGACACCTTTCTGGAGACCCAGTCAATTGAAATGGTGGCCCCCAGCCTTCTCATGACATCAGTGCCCAGCGAACACTGCGTGGTCATTGCTGACACAACAAACACAGGATGTTGTGTGAAAGAGCAGAGGCGCCCACGTGAAGATCCGCCAACACCAATGCCTGGAACAACAAGGGCTTACCATCGATTTTAACAGGCTGCTGGCGCACCGCGCAGGGTGCTAAGTCGCAAACGCCCGGGACTGCCGAGCTGACTGATATACACTCAGCTCCTGTCTTTAACAACCATGTCACAGGCTGCCCCTGTACTAACTCTCCAACATACACAGCCTTTAAATTGTTGTTGGGAACAGTGGTTGCGCCCACAACAGCTCCCCCATCGCGCGCATAACTGCACAATCCCTGGACCACATCGTTACTGGGCCTCGCACCTGGAACCGAACAGTGGCCCTCTTCTCCGGCTCTCACCGAAAACCCATCTGAGCTCGGCAGTTATGCGCATCATGGCCGGGCTGTCCACGTCGGTAGAGCGGATCACCACGCCCCCACGCTAGGCCACCAGTCTCTGGCCAAGTGAGCGCGGCTACCAAAATGGTAATAGGCACCATCAGGAACAGCTATTCCTCCCCCGACCTCCATGTTCAGTGCACTCGCCTGCTCGGTAAGCACCTCAACCGCGCACTCCGTGATGAACACCCCCAAAGGTCAACCTGCCAACGCTCGCCTGAAGTTCTGCCATCGGGGCTGCCACCGCCTTGACCTGGTCGCGGAGCTCCGCCACCTACTCCACTTCAGCAGACCCCGCCTCCAACCTCCTCGCCGGTGAAGAAGTCGGAGCCGAAGGTGCGACGACGGCGGCGACGACGCCCGTCTAATCCATTGATGAATTGGGCCTTGACAACGCCTTCTCGAGGGTCAGATGCCCATTCTGGGTAAACCCGTTCTGCCAGTTGCTGTAACTCATACACATATTCAGCAGTTGACTGTCCCTGCTATCACTTGGTACAACCTCAACTGCAGTGCATAATCACTTTGCAAGCCAGGCAAGTGAAACTCGGACATCAGCGATTTTCGCAACTCTGTATATGTGCTTTTGCAGTCATCTGGCAAGCGCATGAAGCAATCACATGCCATGTCAGACAGTGACACCGATAACTGATCCAGTTTGGTGATCTCATCAGTCCAGCCATTAACTAGTGTACACTGCTAAAACTTGTGAAGAAAACACCTGACATTGTCCCTCCCATCAGTCTCTTAGTCTAACCACTTTGCCAGCAGATGCTATGATGGATGACTTGAACTCTTCCTGAATTGTTGGCTTAATATCCTCTTCAAATGTTGTCTTTGGCATCAGGTCTGGCCACCACTGCCACCATTGTGACAACTGCCCGACTGCAGTTTATTCAGGAAGTAGTGCACTGTCAAACTAGACACTCATTCTGCAGCACCTGCAAAGGACTCATTAGCTGACCACCAGCCATGCCCAGCATGCAGCCTTGGGAGCTAGCATAAGGGCATGCACCAAGCAGCAATGACAGCATCCATGACCACATGCACCACACAACCACCATGCAAGCCAATACTGCATGCGACATCAACAGCACATACACAGTCACCAGGGCATGCACATGCAACATGTCACAGTATAAAGCTCCATGGCCAAGAAACACACTTGTTTAATGTCTGTTGCCCTCATTTGCTTCCAAAATCAGCGCTGGCAGCCAAGACGATAGTATCAGGTGAATTGTTAGATGTTGAGCATAACTGATGTTGATGTTGAGCTTGATGTTGATGCATAACTGATGAATTGTTAGATGTTGACCAATGATGACCATAACTAAAGATCAAATGACTGAGGGCAGTCTGGTTCTCTCTGCCATGGGACCCCCTACAAAAAATTATGCTATTCTTACAGTGCTATTCTGCCATCAACAGTGGCAACCACGAGCCTGTCCGCTTGTGGGTGGAATTTTAAGTTCAACACATCACAGCGGTGTTTTAAGTCTGGTGGAGCTGTTCGCTGAGGTAGTTTTGTATTGTATCCCCAGATTTCTTCAGGTTTTGCTGCTTCTTCCTCTTCTTCAGAGCTATCAGAAGTGCATGGATCAGGCACTGGCTCTTGCACCTTAACAGTGCCATTATCTAGCTTCAGCCGTTTGCTCATCTCTCCAACGATGCACACCTGTAATAAGACATGTTAAATAACATGGTTAGAAGCCTTTGATACAGAGTTAAAAAGAGTAGATGCAAATTTAGTGCTACAAAAATTGGAAACATCACAATACAGCAATACAGAGCAGCAGAAGTAACAATATGTGGGCATAAGTATATACCTTTAGGAATGATAAATACTGATGAGTTTTTTCAAAAACTTTGGTGGGAAATTGCATTGGTTCTTGGGAAAATGAGAAAATGATCATCATGTCAACGGAAGTTGGCGTCGCCTAACCCTGTCATCGTGATTCCCCCATCTCCGCCCCACCCTACCTCTGATTATGTAGCTTATTGATCCAGGGGCCTAACTGCAGGCACCCGCGGGTTCCATCTGAGGTTTGAATACAATCACGCCGACTGGTTTACAGCCTTTCCTAATGTCCAGAACACACAGGCCCCCTCGCCGCTCAACCACGCTTCCCCAAACACGTGTACGAAAGGGACGGTTGCATGTCGTTTACCCTAAAAATACCCCAATCCTATCATGTGTCCACTACTGCCTATGTGGCAGTTTTTGGGAGCAAATAAATCACTGAATGGGTCTTTTGTGTAAAAGCTGCTACCACTAACTCAAAAAAAGTTATCGAACACAACTTGTAATAAGTTTGTCGCTTTCAAGCCACAAAGGCTCCTGGTGCGATAAATAGTAGTACACTTTTAGGTTGGGGCGGGGGCGATTCTGTTTAATGTACGTGTTGTTTTGTTGCATGTGATTGCCTGTTGGTAGGCGCTTAATGGGCTGAAATGATAGTCTCTAACATTTGCCGGTGGGGTGCAATCCGTAGGCATGATGCCATTTGCAATGTATTTTGGCGGACAGACACACGCAAATCTTTGTCCTTTTCTGCTGTTCGACTGGATGCCAGTTTTCCGCTCCTGAAGGTTGATGTCGATTGCACTGATCAGGCATATCAGCAGGCTGCAGCAACAGGCTTGAAGTCCATTGAGCAACTTGACAAGATCATGACAGTGCTTGCAAATGGAGGTTGGTGCTTGCTTGTAAACATTGTGGTGTTGAGTTATAAACATGCCAATTTACAATCGACAGACTTGTCCCTTCTGATAAAATGCATTTCATAAAAATTGATGTATTTTTTCTTATGGTATTCAATGTGGACTGGACACATTGACAAATGAGGACCAATGGCACAGAACCAAGACACTTTGGTCTTGGATGTCCTACTTTAGAACCAGTTATGCATTGGTTCTCCAATGACCAAAGGTGGAAAATCTGTGGTTGTGCTGACATCACTACATATTTTAAGACATTTATACTGTAAGTTAAATGATTCAAACTTTTTCGACTTGTTTACATCTTCAGCCTCTTTGTTCAGGTGGAGAGAAGGCCAGACAACGCCACACTCAGCTCAACAAGAAGATGCTTGTATGGGACAGGATTGCCCGTTTAGTGGATCCCAATACAGAGCTGATCAACCTCGCTCCTCTGGCTGGCCTCTCCCTGGAGTATGGAGATGTACCCTATGGGGGTGCAGTTTGTGGTAAGATGGCACCATTTGGTCAGAATAGTCAGTGCCCCTAAAAAACAGACTATCATGGCAAAAAATAGAGTGACTAATCCCATTCATAAACTGGTGTTATAGAGGAATTTAGAGTAAGCCACTAACTGAGCTTGTAATGCCAATGGCTATTACTTCTGGTAGCCTGATTTTAGGGCAATTTTGATTAAGTCTGGCCTTAGACATTTTCTTGATGTGACATCATCTTTTCATATTGTTTGGGATATTCAGTCTTGTTAAGCAGTGTGTGTGGGCATTGATTGAAATGAGTGGTAAGCAATTGCATGACATGTTTTACAAGCATTATGTACATTCATCCAGACATGATGGGGCTGAAATCAATCTTGTAAGGTATTGCTGATAAGGTCTATTTTGATATATTTGATATATTTGATATATTTGATAGAGCTTCTACCTGATGCTCATTGTCACTGCATAAAAGTACCATTTCTTTGTATTTGTGCATTCAATGATGCTGCTTGCAGTCATTGCCAAGGTGAAGGGGCGGTACTGCGTGATCAACGCCAATGATGGGACTGTGAAGGGAGGCACCTACTTCCCCATAACAGTCACAAAGTCACTGCGGGCACAGCAGGTAGGTACAAATTATCACCACACATCTGCTAGTCATAAGAAAGCTGGCAGTTTCCCTACAGTGCACTGCTCATGTGCATCTTATGCAATAACGACCATCATTCAGGAAGGTGCTCCAGCACTGCAATGTGTTTGGTTCTGCAACATGCAGTTAAGAACTACAGCACGGATATTGCGTGTGTCGCGAGGGGTCAGTTTCCCGCGCCGCCGCAGACCGTTCTGTAATGCGCGGTTGAGAACTAGAGCAAAGGTATTTCGTGTGTATCGAGGGGCCGGTCTCCGGCGCCACCGCCGCAGACCGTTCTGTAATGTGCGGTTGAGAAATAGAGCACGGGTGTTTCGTGTGTATCGAGGGGCCGCTCTCCGGCGCCACCGCAGACTGATGCGACGTGGTGAGCTGTAGCCCCGACCGAGCGGCGGGCCTCTCCCGGCGCTGGGCCTGGCCATATGCTGGGCGCCGCCGAGTCCAGTTTTGCTATGACGTCACAGACCTGTGCTGCGTCTTATGTTCGAACAGTCAGACCACTGGAGTACGATAGGGGTGTGGGGACGGTCAGCAGCCGCAGAGGCGAGGCCAGGCACGAGACGAGACGCTCCCATACGAGGCAGTGGCTGTCAGCGACGCCTGTGCCGGCCTCTGTCCGGGGCCTGTCGGCCGGCGCGAGCCGTCTGCCTCCCCGGCCGGGCGCTCACCTCGCCTATCTGGCAGATCTCTGCGGCCAGCCGGCTGCCGTCCATCTGTCTGGTGGACAGCGGCGGTGGCTTTCTGCCGCTGCAGAGCCAGCTGTTTCCGGACAAGCAGCACGGCGGCCGCAGCTTCCGCAACCAGGCGGTGCTCTCGGCCGACGGGATCCCGCAGGTGGCGGTCGTCTGCGGCAGCTGCACCGCCGGCGGTCAGTCTCGAGCGCCTCCAGCCGTGGCGCTGGTGTACCGAGCGTGGGTGCCGTCCTCACTGCGCTCAATGTGTGCGCGCCTGGAATTTACATGGTACTTCGGTCCTAATGACATTGGGGGAGGTAACCACCCATCAGCAGTAGTTATTTCCACACTCTTGTTTGTCTGCATTTCTGTGGGAGGTGATTGGAACTGACGTGCTTCAATCCGACATCTGTTAATTTCTGGCTTTTGTGGTATGGAAGCATTTTGGAAACATGACCTTACCTAAATTTTGTTAAGCTATGTTGAATAAGGTCCATGTCATAAGCATTATTCGCAATGGCTCCTGTTACGTTTATGGTATGTGGTACACACAGTATTTAAGCTATGCCATACATTAAGCATAACTTTGTTTCTCTCCTGTTCCTGTTCCTTTTGTATGAAGATGTGTCTTGTGTGTTGGTCTCATAAGTTGCAATGAATTTCCCTTTGTTTGCACCTGTTTTTCACACTTCAAACCAGCTTCTCATGGCGGACGCTTGGTTGTAGCCAGAGCTGTCCTCTTGACCGGCACGCGGCCGGTGGTGCGGCAGGTGCGTACGCACCGACCATGTCTGACGAGGCTGTGATGGTGGACCGGATCGGTACGCTATTTCTGGGAGGACCGCCGCTGGTGCGTGCCGCCACTGGCGAACAGGTCACCGAGGAGCAGCTCGGTCAGTGCCCGCGCTCACCAGAGCCAGGTCCTCCTGCTCAGGTCCCCCATGTCTCCCTGGTCTCCCTGCTTATTGAAATGAGATACCCCAACTGAGCTCCGCTACACTGGGGATCAAAGGGTTTGTGTGTGGCTGTGCTCACCACATCTCGAGCGGTGGCAATGTTTTGCTTATCAGCCATTATGTTATTGAACCATGAGTTTTTGAACTTCAACTGAATCATTGAGATTATCTGTGCGTGAATGATAAGAGGTAGTACTTCAATTGATATAAAGGCGTTTTTGTTGACTCTCCCCACTGTTAACGATTGGCGTGTTTCTTGGCCGTCACTATCGACCCCCACCGGACTCCGTCGAAGCGCGCGCGCTCACTGGTCCCTGTCCGTCTGTGGCTGCTCTGTGACATCGTCGTCTCGCTCATCATGGGTCTGTGACGCCTCGGTAGCCGTCCGTCCCTGCTCTGCGTGATTGGCTCTGCGGTGCGCAGGTGGCGCCACACTGCACTGCAGCGTGTCCGGCTGCTGCGACATGTTTGCCGCGGACGAGGAGGAGGCGCTCAGCACGACGCGTGACGTCATCGACTCGCTCAACCTGCCTCCGGCCGAGGCGAGCCAACACGAGCCGCCGCTCCTGCCGTCTGCCGGCCTGGACAGTAAGTGGCGCGGCCCGATGAGGATCGCCTGCCTATTGCAGCCTGAGAAGTGAGCTACGCAGCTCAGTGGCAGTGTGCGCCAGGACTCCTGCGCTTTCCGAGCGCAGAACAAGGGATTGCTTTGATCTGGCTCCGCTGTTTTAGATTGCCTTTTACAGATATGTATATAGTACTCCTTCAAAGAGCTATCCAAACATGCAGCAAAGACCTGTGAGTAATACAGTTATGGACGAGATGTATTTGTATTATATGTATTTGAATCACGATTCGGATATTAAATACGCAACAACACCCAGCACTTGCGCAGGACAGATTTAACCCCCGACCTCAACCGGCCGTCCCTACCTCCAGCCTGCGGCCGCTCCGGTCCACAGACGCGACCTCGGCCAGGTCACGGGGAAAATGGCCCGGAGGCATAAACACGGCCGGCCGCGCCGGTTAGCCGCTGACCAGGCCGCGCCCGCGCGGCCGCACGACGCAGTAGCGTGAGCAATAGTAACATATATTATTCAAGAGAATTTAGTGCAGCACGTATTTGTTGTAACGAGCGAAACGTCACGAGATCTCGAGGATATTGCTACTTTTACGTTGTCTTCGGAGGTAACTCTGTTGGCTAAATCGTTGCCAAGAGAAAAGCGCCATCGGACTGCTCTCGTATCGGGCCAAATGAAGAGGCCAAGCACTACATAATAACTGCATGAGGAGAAATCCCTAACAAAATAAATGATGCTGTATAATTCAGGGGAACATGTTGCAACTTCCGACGCATGTTTCAATAACGCAGCATGTTTTCTGCGTGCGCGCAATTCCGATGAATTTGTTCTGACAGCAGGCCCCCCTAATTGGAATTTGTTGAACAAAATAATAGCTAATAAGATGTGTTGTGTGACGAGCTGTTAGTATAACACGCACGATGTCGGTGACGCTTATAGCGCCTTCGTCAAGATACGAGACCGAGAACACTCGTCCCTCACTCGCACATGTACCGTGACGATCGCACACATCGTCACACTGTGCTTCTGTCACATGTATATGTGATGTGTATATGTGAACCGCAGGCTGTGCAGCCAGCGGAGCGCTCGCCGCGCTGTGCCGCTGTACAGCCAGCGAAGCGCTCGCCGTACTGTGCCGCTGTGCAGCCGGCGGAGCGCTCGCCGTACCGTGCCGCTGTGCAGCCAGCGAAGTGCTCGCCGTACTGTGCCGCTGTGCAGCCGGCGGAGCGCTCGCCGTACCGTGCCGCTGTGCAGCCAGCGAAGCGCTCGCCGTACTGTGCCGCTGTGCAGCCGGCGGAGCGCTTGCCGCACTGTGTCGCTGTACAGCCAGCGAAGCGCTCGCCGTACTGTACCGCTGTATGCGTCTCGCCGGTCTTTGTGTCTTTGGAGTGTGAGCTAATCCGATTGATTTTCTGGCTGTTTAAGCGCTCTCAGGCCTGGACCATCTTTCGCACTCGGAAGTGCGATACGTCTTAGGGACCATCCTAGACGGAAGTCGCTTTCGAGAATTCAAAGCTACCTACGGCAAGAGCGTCATCACTGGTTTCGGAAAGCTTAACGGGTACGTTTTGTGGTACTCTTAAAGAAGTGCCAAACCAACGAAGTTGTTATTTCCGATGTGCCGTGTAATTGCCCCTTTAAATTTACATATTATATATATGAACACATGGTACATTGTAATAGGGTTTATGGACATTCATGTTAAAGGATATGTAGGCTATAAGGATATATTTTACATAATGATTGTAAACAGATTTCTCTGGATATAGAGCTGCAGATCGCCAAAACCCTGAATTCATCCATTAATGAGGGTTATGAATGTTTATCCCGGTGGCTTGTCGCGGTTCAGTTTTGCCCGTTCCTGCGCAGGCGGCTGGTTGGCGTGGTGGCCAACCACGGGACGGTGACGTCACGCGACGCCCTGAAAATGGCGCATCTGGTGGAGCTCTGCGACCAGCGTGGCATTCCCCTTATCTATCTGCAAAACTCGCCAGCTGACGCAGGTGCAATGGCTCCGAAGTCCCCAATGACCGGCGTAGCGATACAGACATCAACGGCGTATGGTTGACATGTTCAGGCCGACGTCATGTCCATTACCCTGTTTACATGGGCAGCTGTGATTCGAATTGAGCCGGGACCCGTCCTCGATCCGAACTATCCGGCCCATGTATACACTCACGCGCCGTTCCGCTGATTCGAATCGTGCGCCGGAGGAAATCCCTTCCCGTGAGAGGATCATCCGTTCAGGAAGGGATTTCGTCCGAATTATCGGCCGTCAGCTGTCTAAACAAAAAAAAAGAAAAATGCCTGGCGCACGCAGTTCTGTTCATGGCCATTTCAGCTTCGTTTGGTGTTGCCGCTTTTCCACGGGTTTTTAGCTATTGCTCGAGACGGTCCAAGTCCAAGATGGTAAAGGAAAAGAGAAAGAGGTGAAGTTGACACCATGCTGCTAAAACTACGCTTATTATTGAGGGCCTTGAGTGGCTAGCAGCACAGAAATGCTCACGTAATTTAGCCTCGCTAGGCGCATGATCTATGCAGACAGCAGGCGTCGGCGGTGCTTGGTGCTATCTTTCCGCCTAAAGGTTAGATTAATTTACATCTGGGGCAGGCTCCATGCTTCCAAAAGCCAATGGAGGTAATATGGTCATTTTATATAGCTTTGACTTGTTCTCACTTTAATTTTGGATTGCTCAAAATTCGTGCAGAGAATGCCTCCAAGTTCTTTCATTAAGTTAATACCTAAAGGCCCCAGGAGCGTTTTTGCAGATGTTCCTTAAATTAGGATGCTGGTTGCTTGTCAGTTAAATTTGTGTGAGAAAGGTAGCTTAAAAATTGCTGCATGATATGACGGATGAACAAATATAGATCATTGCAGTCAGCTCGGAATGTGAACTTTTTCAATGGTAGGACCGAAATTGCCCAATGACGGGGTCAGAACAGCAAGAAAGCAAATGTGAACACTGGATGAAAATAGTTGTCATCATTACTCTGCTAAATCCAAGTTTGTGTGTTCCATGTGCAGGAAAACAGTGCATAAACTAACACCTAACATGATGGCACATGCTGCATGGAGAACACGTCTGTGTTGCATATCATCACCTGTTTTTGTACTGATGATTAAATATGTCACCTTGGTGCTTTTTTGAGATGGGTGTCTGCAGGCCATGAGGTAGGTACTTGAACTGTTCAACAATTCTTGCAGGGAGTACCAATAGTTTCTTGCATTAAGTGAATACATAAATGCCCCAGGATTGATTTTGCAGACATTCCTCCTGTGACTTGAACATTTGGTTGACCACCTATTGGCAGGAGAGATGTGCTGGATATTGGTGACTGGCTCGTCAAGGAAATATTAAGCTACATCACACTGGTAGACCAAATGGCAAGGAAGCGGGGGCTGGAATATTTGTTTTTGATGCGATTAGGCTGTTTGTTGCTTGTCAGTTTAGTGTGTGTGAGATAAGTAACTCAATAATTCCTGCATGATGCAAAGGATCAACAAATATAGGCAATAGATCATTGCAGTCAGTGCAGAATGTGAACTATTTTTAATGATGGGACCAAAATTGCCCAGTGATGGTTCCAAAATGTCAAGAAAGTAAATGTGAGCACTGGATGAAAATAGCTGTCATCAGTACTCTGTCAAATCCAGGTTTGTGCATTTCATGTGGAAGAAAACAGTGCATAAACTAAGTAAACCTAACATAATGCCACATGAGGTGCAGAGAACATCTGTGGTGCACATCATTACCTGTTTTTGTATGGGTGAGTAAATATGTTACCTTGGTGCTTTTTTGTGACATGTATCTTTGCAAACCATGAGGTGGATAATTGAGCTGTTGTTATAATTAATCATTTGTTATGAATTTTGAGCCCAGATTGTGTTTGTCATGACAGCTCTGGGGCTGGTTCACATGTTATGATCTTTGGACTGTGCGAACACAGCTGTTTGTGCCACCTAGCCATCAGTCCATATCAGCCAATGCTGTTGACTGCAAGGATATCAAAGCAGTATTTCAACCCTAGTATGTCAAGAAAGCAAATAGCTGCATTCTGATTTGCCAGTCCATGCCAAGTCTAAATGGCAATGCTGCCCTCAGGTACTGATGATGCATTGGATGGGGAAAGACAACATAGTTACACAATTTTTGCCACTAACTATGTAGCATTCATGAGTCATTTCTGTAGCTTAGCTCACTGTTGCAGGCTGCTCATAAATGCATTAGTGTGGGAGTAGGTAATGTGTTTCTTGGGCTGCGCAAAGTAGGTGACATGATGCTGGGTGGCATACTGATATGAGTGTGGTAAGTTTGTGAGTGTCGTTGGCCAATACAAGAAAATACTGATTTCCTGCTAGCCAAAGTTTCCCGCTAGTAAAAATTTGCATATAACACTTTATGTGACAGATTTGGCAGTGCTGACTGCGCAACTCTTGTGTTTCAAGTGCTATGGCTTGTGCTGTAGCTATAAAGCCTATGAGTCCCGCACAGATCATTTTTCCAACGGAGTCCATCTTCCTCCTCGCCCTCAAAGCTGTCTCGCGCCCACCATGGCTCGTGACATTCGCCATCCATACGCAGAGTACCGGCTTTTTTCTTCTTGTTTTGTTCAGTTCGCCTCAAAAGCGCAGTTTTCGCCCATAATCCGTTCCTTGATTCGAACTAAGCGGGATCGAACTATCGACCGCTAATCCGACGTAAAGCCGGTTTCGCCCATGTAAACGCCGCTCGCCGAGAGGGTTAACCGTCGCATGATCCGTTCCGATCTTAGTTCGAATTATCCTCGGCTGCCCATGTAAACCGGGTACATGTTCAAACTCATGGATGTTGCCCTGGCATGCACGGACGAAAAGCGTCAACATGGTGACGTCATTTGATTATGTCTGAGCCTCCGTCCCTGAAATACATATGAATAATATCCCGCTATGCACAGGGATATGGTTCCAGTACTGAGAAGTCTTGTTATGTGCCATGCCTTACGGTGCAGGGACCATAAAGCCGTCGAGTCTGCCTTGTGTCACTATATGATCTGGCCATTTAGTGAGCTCCTCGTTTGGGTCGGCAGCGGCGGACTGCTCAGATCCTGAGGTTCTGAAGTGTCGCAGCCGAGCGGCCGCCGTGCTGGCCACCACCAGAGTGCCTCGAATCAGCGTCAACCTCACCGGCTGCCACGGCGACCAGCACCTGACCATGGTAAGGCCCCTGCGCCGCCCTTGCGTCCACACTCAGCGTCCACGGAATCGTACGTTCACTAACTGTCGTATGACTGCTGAACATGAGGATAGCCGGGGGTTTCGGTGGACGAGTGATAGGTACAATCCACTAGCTACCAGCTCAGCTCTACGTCCCCTGTACGGGTGACGCGGGCGGTGAGCCCCTGAGTAGGGTGCGTCCTGCCCCGGACACGGCCTGTGACCAGCCCGGGGTTTGGGGGCAGCGGCCCGTCGGTCGGTGTGTCTCAGTCTCTGCCCGTGCTGCAGTGCGGCGTAGCGTTTGAGCCGAACTTCTACTTCGCCTGGCCACGCGCCAAGTTCTCGGGACCGGCGATGACAGCTGGCGCGGAGCCGTCGGCGGCGTCCGCCGCTCCGCCGCCGCCGCCGCCGCCGCCGGCGGCAGCCACGGGCAAGGCCAAGACCGGGCCGCCGCCGCTGGTGCAGCTGGACAGAGACTCGAGCCTGTTTTACGCCTCGCGGGTGCTCATCGACGGCGTTATCCGCCCCCGTGACACCAGGAAGGTCGGTATCCGGGCAACGTCCTTACCCATGTATCCTGCATGTAGGTTAAGGCCCAGGTAGTAAGCTGGTGCGAACCTCATTCGCAAATGTAGGTGACTATGGAGATTGTTCATGAGCAGCACGATTTCACGTTTTTTGCCCATTTGTGTTTCCGTTTTTGATAGACCGGGTGCTATACTTAACACCGGCTAGTCTCCCAGAACTCAGCGCGGACCTGGGCGTCGCAAGTAGCTGTGAGAACAATGTGAGTGCAAAATAGGCACTCAAACGTGTACCTTAGTTAAGAGTTGTTACCTGCTGGAGTTAATCAGTACCATGCCGGCCAAAAAAATGAGCTGTAGGCGGCCGCGTGGGGCAAGACCATAATGTATTTCTAATATATATATATATTATATATATATATATATATATATATATATATGTATATATATGCTTATACCGGATAATTTTGCGATACCCAAGATAATATTGGCAATGAGGGAGAAATGCCTGTTTGCAATATGCTCCTGTTTGTGGGAAGCAATTTGTTATTTCCAGCTATTGGCGCGTTTCTGTCACGATTGAGAGCCTTGGGAGAATATTGTATTTGACGCATGTGCCGTGTCGTCCCCGCCCACACACACACACACACACACACACACACACACACACACACACACACACACACACACACACACACACACACACACACACACCACACACACACACACACACACACACACACACACACGCACACGCACACGCACACGCACACGCACACGCGCGCGCACGCGCACGCACACGCACACGCACGCACACGCACACGCACACGCACACGCACACGCACACGCACACACACGCACACACGCGCACACACGCGCACACGCGCACACGCACGCAGCCCTTCCGTGGTGGGTGGGAACTTTGTTTCCGTGCTGTCATACCTCCGGCAGACGTGTCTCAGCGCCGCGCTGCAGTGACATAGCCCCGCCACATCGCCAGATTCTGGAGACGAGCCTGGACGTGGTGACATGGAACATCACCCTGGAGGAGCGGCGCCACCCCGTGATCCGGATGTGAGCTGTGCTGAGAGCTGGGCAGTCGTTCCGTGGCGGACGGATGGCCAGTCCGCCACGGGACCAGCGGAGAGGCCGCTGGCCGTGTGACCCACAGCCGCCGCTGGTCATCGCAGATGTGACCGGTCCTAGGCAGGGCTCGTAGCTCGTAGCGTCGGTACAATTTTTACGCAGTCGGCGGTTCATCGCCGATTGTTTTTCATGGTGTTTCCGCGGAGTGATTTTGGGCTCTTGCCCGCGCGTTGTTTTCTGTCGCCCTGTAGCCACGAACTCAAGGTGTGTTGTGGACTTGCGGCATGAGATGACTTGCATCATGTAGAACGAGGGGACGTACTACGCGCAGCATAAGGGGACTGTTACAACACGCAGCATGAGATGACTGTTACAACTTGCAGCAGGTTACTGATACGACTTCCAGCACGAGGGAAAATTTACATTGACCCCGCCCTTAGCGTATGTTAAAGTGTGTTCATAAGTGTAACGTTATGAAGCCATGTGGTATAATGTATCTGTGGAGATGCCTATCCATCGACATACACTTCAGGGGTGATGCCAGGAACTTCGCTTTCTGTCGAGTGCCACACTTGAAATTGATCAACAAGTAATTCCATATGTTTTGATTGGTAAGATACAATATACCAAAGCCACCAATTACGTTTCATGCCCCCATTGTGTGATGGGACCCAGAAGCCGGGACCTTGCGGTTACAGCTGGGATGTCAACGCCCAGCCAGCGGCGGCCATGTCCAGACATCGGGAGGTCTTCCCTGGTACACGGCATACTTCTTCCGGATCTACTCGAACTCAGTCGCTAGGGCAGAAGCCAGTTCATATTTATATTTCACCCATGCATGAACCATTGCATTCGCTGACACGCTGACTTCAATCCTCATCACCCATTCGACATCCAAAACTGTAAGGGGCGAAACAAAGCTCACCAGCGAATCAACACCGACTGTGTTCATCGTGGCACATCTTCCAACGGCGCCCAAAATATTGCAGACTGACCCGTATCTGGGAAGAACACAGCTAGTTGACTTCCTAAACTGGTCCGACTGCTGGATCTCATAGAAATGGCTCTAGCTCAACGCTCGGCTGGAGGTTTCGACTACACGCGTGATTCGCGCCCCGTCAGTGGGTTTAGGCGCCTGATCTGGACGACGTCCTGCTACACAGATCAGCTCGCGTTACGCCATGATGGCTGTTTTATAAGTCCGACCTGCTGCGCAGAACGCACTCCGATTCGCCTCGCCTCCGGGGCGTCGCCTCCCGTTTCCCCGCCACGGCGGCGTGCTGGCGCCACCTGGTGGTTCCGTCAGGTGGCAGCGATTACCTGGCAGCTAATACGTGACACCCCGTGTCGCTCGCACCACCCCGTCGTAGCGACTTGCCACACGGTCATGTCAGATGTCATGAGTGCGGCGCGGGTCAAGCGGCGTCGCTCGCGTTCGTCCGCCGCCCGGGCGCATCACACTCGGCCCTGTGCCACCCTTCCTCCTCGATCTGTGCGTCGCCTCCCCTGGCGCCGCCGGCCGCGCCGTCGCTCTGCTCCGGGTGGGCGTCGTCCTGCGGCGGCTGCGGCGTGTCACACTCGGCCGCCTCCAGCTGCGGCCGCGGGAAGCCGTACAGGCACCAGCGGTACAGCTGCTGCAGCTGACAGGCCGTCAGACGCTCGGCCCCCGGCCAGCCGTGCTCGTGCGCCACCACATCCGTCAGCGTCTCGGTCACCATCACCGGCAGTCGCACGTTGTGATAGACGACCACCTTACCGACTGTCGCGTACACCATGCATGGCACGTTGGAGCCGGTGCGCGCACCGAACTGACCGGCGGCAAACGCCGTGACGGCCTCCTCGAACAGGAACTGTACCGACTGCTTCTCCTGCCGCCAGCCGTGACAGACCAATCAGCAGGGCAGGACACTAGCCGAGGTGGGTCGGTAAGCAGAACAGGACACCAGCCACGGCGGATCGGTCAGCAGGACGGGACACCAGCCACGGCGGATCGGTCAGCAGGACGGGACACCAGCCACGGCGGATCGGTCAGCAGGACAGGACACCAGCCACGGCGGATCGGTCAGCAGGGTTAGACGCCAACAATAGCAGATCGGTGGGCAGGACAGGACGGCAACAACGGTGGACCGGTCAAGGGGGCAGGCCTTAGTCCAACACAGTAAAAAACGCGATTTTGAACCACATAGGTGAAGGAGAACTGGATGAACTCCGTGCCCATACAAGCCACAGTGCATCAGTCGGTGAACTCCGGCTTAAAGGCCAGATGGGCCAGTGACGGAGACGGACATAGCCACGAGGGCGCGGTGGCAGGCTCCGAGCCCACCGACCTGGTTGATGATGAACGTGTGGCCGTCCCACGATGACACGATCAGCTCGTCACTGCCGTCCGAAGTCACGTCCATCTTGGTCAGGCCGAACAGCTGGTGATGAAGCACCACGGACCTGGCCGGCGGTCGGGTCCGGGCAATGTCAGCTGGCTGCGCCCATGTGTGCGGGTAAAACAGCCAGAGACAGTGCGCTGGTGCCTAAACATCAGGCAAATGCGCCCATGTGTGCAGGTGAAACAGCCAGAGACTGTGCGCTGGTGCCTAAACATCAGGCACACGCCATAACGCATATTGTAAAAGGCATTCGCATTTGTGGCCAGGAGCACTGCTCGTGCCAGCCTTCTCAAACTAATCCATACTTGCCTAATATCGTTGTAAACCAGCATTTCCTAACATACTGCAGAACATAAGTCAGCATAACAACTACTAACTTGAACTGCAGAAGTACTATCCATAATTGCAGGAGAACCAACGCGTCGCCCGCTTTGAAACAAACAGGCCAATACAAGTTAGCTAGCGCCATTCTGAAAAGCAGCTTCTGGTTCCATATTGTTCTGCCATCTTGCAATACAAGTTATGAACTATCATACGATTGCACGCGTGCGTTCGCACGTCTTCAAAAGGGGCTTTGGTACACACATCGATTCGTGCAAATTTTTAGACTGGAGGAGTCCAAATGGCGTTAGTCACGGTAGCGGTTGGCGCGCAATTCGCTTGACTCCCAACTTCCAAAATGCAAGTGTACGATGTGCAGCGAGGCATGGACACATCCACCACAATTCGAGAGCCACACACACTGTGCATGATCTGATGTTCACACATTTTGATCATTCCAATCTTAAAGTAATACAACATTTAGTACGTCAATCGCGGCTGGTTGCTCATGGTTCAAAGCGCAGGTCTTCCCAAACTCCGAAAGAGCACCTCCCTTCACCTCATTTCAATCACGAATCGTTTCTTAATACAATCTTATCCACATTAATTACGTAAGCTGTGAAGTGCATTTGCGAGGGGCGCTGTGCACACAAATGGTCCAGCATTACAGCTGACCAACCCACGAAAGGCGGGCGGGCGGACACAGCTGCTGATGGCGCTCGGCTCTCACACTGTAGACAGGTCATGTCAAGTGACCTCACCACTCGACGGCGTTGTCCTTGACGTAGAAGAGGCTGCCGTCCATGGTGATGAGGGCGTACGTGTTGGAGGCGGGCTGATCTCTCAGTCCACCCAGCACCTCGCACGACACGTTTTGACGCGTCTTCACCGCTAGGCTAACGTCGTCAATGTCCACAGAGTGGCACTCGCTGCAACACAGCAGCGCGGTACGCTCAATGTCCACAGCATGACGCCCTCTGTGGCACAGTAGCGCGGCGTCCTGAAGCGAACGGAAGGCAGCTAGGTGCCACCATACGAGGGCGTGGGCCGCCAGATGCTAGCATGCACCCTCCTAGTCACTGTTCGGTCAGATGAAAAAGGGAACCACTGCTTAGATAACAGCCCTGTGGGTGATAGAATAAGCGTTTTTGAGGTGAATGTCATTTGTGGCAATAAGCCCGTTCTGTACCAGCCGACGGACAAAAGATGACTTTATGAGAAATCAGTTCCACTTTTTCCGCTCTAACCGGCACCAATCACCGGTCAAAGCGATAGCGTAGCCGCACCACAGCGGCACCGGAGAGGGTGGGTGAGGGAGCGTACTGTCCGTCCTTGTCCAGCGAAGAGCGGTAACGGAGCCGCACCACGGCGGCGCCGAGGAGGGTGGGTAGGGAGCGTGCTGTTTATCCTCGACCAGCGAAGAGCGGTAACGGAGCCACACCACGGCGGCGCCGGGGAGGGTGGGTAGGGAGCGTACTGTCCGTCTTCGTCCAGCGAAGAGCAGTAACGGAGCCGCACCACGGCGGCGCCGGGGAGCGTGGGTGGGGAGCGTACTGTCCGTCCTCGTCCAGCGAAGAGCGGTAACGGAGCCACACCACGGCGGCGCCGGGGAGGGTGGGTAGGGAGCGTACTGTCCGTCTTCGTCCAGCGAAGAGCAGTAACGGAGCCGCACCACGGCGGCGCCGGGGAGCGTGGGTGGGGAGCGTACTGTCCGTCCTCGTCCAGCGAAGAGCGGTAACGGAGCCGCACCACGGCGGCGCCGAGGAGGGTGGGTAGGGAGCGTGCTGTTTATCCTCGACCAGCGAAGAGCGGTAACGGAGCCGCACCACGGCGGCGCCGGGGAGGGTGGGTAGGGAGCGTACTGTCCGTCCTCGTCCAGCGAAGAGCGGTAACGGAGCCGCACCACGGCGGCGCCGGGCTGCGAGACGAGCACTGACGGCCGGCCGTCGCCCTCTATGTTCAGCGAGATGGTGCCGATCTGCCGGGCAGAGCGCACACGTGGCGTCGGAGCGCGCTCGGAACGGTCGCTCGGTCGGACCGAGGTGGCGCAGACAGACGTCAGCAGACAGACGTCAGCAGACTGTACCGCGACGACGGCGGGCTGAATCCGTCCAGCCCTGGTGACTGGGTGAGTCGGCACCGGCGCCAGTCAAGTTTAGCTGTCAATCGTATCGATGGACTTTGCTGCTGCGTGGACAGGTTCACTTCCCGGATGCACGGGTCTTCAGCAGATACCCTTTGTTGCAAGGTATTGTCTAAAAACAATATACACAATGTATGTACAAACACCCAGGTGTGAAGGCGCTTACACGTCCGGCGGACTGCACGTGCACGTGTCGTGCGATCTGGCGTCTGGTAGAAAAAGCCGTGAGCCACAGTTATCATGGTTGTCGCTGACCATCACAGAAAAATGGCGTTCCTGATCCCTGCTGAGGATGGGGATTGGGTTGCCTTGGCTGATGCAGTCAGACCTCTGGGGTGCAGCGCTGCGGCCGCCGCCCGCGCGTCGCACCTGCTGCATGAGTTCGCACTTGCTGATGGCACGCAGCGTGCCGTCCGTCCAGCGGTACACGCGGACGACCCGGTCTGTCAGCGCCACCACCAGCTCCAGCTGCTGGTCCAGGTCCACGTCCGCCAGCAGCGCCGTCTGTCGGAGACGCGGCCAGACTGAGTGTGTGGCCGGCGGCGCCACGCCGCGAGTGCCGCAGCTGTAATAACGTACCGCTAAGACGACCCGTGAGGCGTTAACAGACACATCATACTGTGGCACTGTACATCCGCTTTCTGTGTATGCAGAGGCCTATAATAACGAAATGTGTAATACTGAACACTTAATGTCAGTATTACCACATGAAGCAGGGTGTCATGTGGAAGAGTGGAATATGGAGGGATACATAAATATGGGAATACATCGAATGTATTATTGAGCAACAAAAG